TGAGGCCAGGTATGGTGGCTCACGCCTGTAATCCCAGCACTTTGGGAAGCCCAGGTGGGGGGATCACGAAGTCAAGAGATGGAGACCATCCTGGCCAACATGGTGAAACCCTGTGTCTACTAAAAATGTAAAAATTAGCTGGGTGTGGTGGTGCATGCCTGTTGTCTGAGCTGCTCGGGAGGCTGAGGCAGGAGAATCGCTTGAATCTGGGAGGCAGAGGTGGCAGTGAGCCAAGACCACTCCACTGTACTCCAGTCTGGCGACAGAGTGAGACTCCATCTAAAAAAAATAAAAAATAAAATTATTTTTTGAGACAGCATCTTGCTCTGTTGCCCAGGCTAGAGTACAATGGCATGATCATAGCTCATTGCAGTCTCTAACTCCTGGGTTCAAGTGATCCTCCCATTTCAGCCTTCCACATACAGCCACTGTGTCCAGCTGTCCTTTTAATAATATACATATATAGAGATGGAATCTCAATATGTTGGCCAGGCTGGCCTCAAACTCCTGTCCCCAAGAAATCTTCCTGCCTTGGCTTTCCAAAGTGCTGAGATTATATGCGTGAGCCACCATGTCTAGCCCATATCCTATTTAGTCTTTGAAAAAACTGTGCTAAGTGGGCAGCCCTAGATTACCTGTCACCAAGTATGGGCCTTGAGCATCAGCAAAACTAGGTCACCCTAATTTGTAAAGAGAAAATGGCTATCTGATATCTTACTTAAAAAAGAATATCAGAATATTACAGACAACTGGAAAAATAACTTTTTCTACATTACATTTAATATTTTTTTCATTTAAAACTATATATTGGAGAGTGATCTGCATTACTAAGAGCTTCTAAAGCTCTTCATGTGGCTCTGGAGAAAGATGTTATGATTCCCATTTTGCAGAACAAACCAAGACTCAGAGAGCTTAGTTACCAGCTCAAGTCACACAGCTAGTTAGTAGCAGAGCCCATTATGATGGTGCTCAGGGTTTATGACACATTATGTTTACGATGGTAAACACCAGTTTTCAAAGTTGTGAATCTTGTTGGGCTTTCTTTAATGGTTTAGTGTTTTAAGCAAATAAATGATAACACAAAGTTAACCTACATACCTGTTTTGGGGTGTCTCCATACTTTTTTGCTCTTAGTGATTGAAAGTATGAATGATATGGAATTATTGGCCTAACTAAATGACTGAGCTTGGTATTTGTTTTTGGGTCAACCAAGGGATAGTGAAAAGGAAGTCAAAGAAGCCAGGAAACTGCTCTCATGCCTTTCTGTGGTTTCTTGTATTCACCGGACAAGGGTCCCTAAGTGTCTTCAGTGTTTTATCCTTTGTATGGTTCCCATTTTAGAAGCTGAGGTCTCAGACTCCCTTCTGCTTATATAAGGGGTGTCAGACAATGGAGTGTGATTTAAGAAAATACTTTCTATAAGTCACTTCAATAATACTTCCTGCAGACTATATGATCTCACGCTGATGATAAAGGGGAGGGCAGAAAGGTGAGATATATGTATGTTCTCCCGACATGCAAAAGTGAGGAAAGTAATTTACTTTACATCTGCCTCCATTATCCTTTCCCAGGGAGTCTCAAACATTCACGCGCATAAAAATCAGCTGGGGGTTGGCACGGTGGTTCAGGCCTGTAATCCTGGCGCTTTGGGAGGCCGAGGCAGACAGATCACTTGCGGTCAGGAGTCAGTGACCAGCCTGGCCAACGTGGTGACACCACATCTCTACTAAAAATACAAATATTAGCCAGGCGTGGTGGCAGGCGCCTGTAATCCCAGCTACCCAGGAGACTGAGGCGGGAGAATCACTTGAACCAGGAGGCAGAGGTTGCAGTGAGCCGAGATTGCACCACTGCACTCTAGCCTGGGTGACAGAACCAGATACGTCTCAAAAATAATAATAATAATAATCTGGGGAGCTATTTTAAAATTCACCTTTCTGAGCGTTGTCCCCAGAATCCCGGATTTCTAGGCATGAGTGGACCGTGGCCTCCCGCAGGTGGCGGTGGACGCACAGCTGCTCCTGATGGCAGGCGGCGCCGAGTCTCGAGCCCGGCTCCCCTGGCCTTGCCGGGCCACCGGGGTGGCGCGCCGCTGCCCATACCGGCGCGCAGGTTCAGGCCAAAAGGACTTGACTTGTCTCAGACACTATTTTAATCCTGTGAAGCATTTAACATCTGCCTGTCCAAATGTATATAGTAGATCACGGTTTCATCACCCAACCCAGACAGTAAAACACACAGTGGTGAGAAATAGATCAATCCTTTCAAACTCAGTTGGAGAGACTTGAAAGGTCTGCATGAGGACATTGGAAAGGAACTGCTCTTATCATCAACAAAACTTAAGGAAATGTTTGAGTACTACTTTGATGGAAAGGAAAAGCCTTTCAACCAATTATTGTGCTTATGGCCCGAGCATGTAATATTAGTCATAACAACTCCCGATCCGAAATCCAGTTTTCACAAGCTGATTGCTAAAAAGGTTCTAGGCAGTGTCTGTTAAAACGCATTGCTTTCCCTTAATTAGACATGTGCAAGTCAGCCAGCGCGCCATGGCCTTAATTTCAGAAATGATCTGCACTGCTAGTCTGGTTCATGATAATATATTGACGACGCAAGTTCTCGAAGAGGAAAACACACAGTTAATAAGATCTGGGGTGAAAAGAAGTTTTTTTTTTTTTTTAGACTGAGTTTGGGTCTTGTTGCCCAGGCTGGGGTGCAATGGCGTGATGTTGCCTCACCGCAATCTCTTTCTCCCGGGTTCAAGTGATTCTCCTGCTTCAGCCTCCCGAGTAGCTGGGATTACAGGCATGGCGCTACTACGCCTGGCTAATTTTTGTTGTTGTTGAGAGGAAGTCTCGCTCTGTCGCCTCGGCTGGAGTGCAATAGCACGCTCTCGGCTCACCGCAACATCCGCCTCCCAGGTTCGAGCAATTCTCCTGTCCCAGCCTCCCAAGTAGCTGGGATTACAGATGCGCGCCACCGTGCCCGGCTAATTTTTGTATTTTTAAGTAGAGACTGGGTTTCACCATGTTGGTCAGGCTGGTCTCGAACTCCTGACCTCATGATCCGCCTGCCTCAGCCTCCCAAAGTGCTGGGATTACAGATGTGAACCACCGTGCCCAGCTTAATTTTGTATTTTTAGTAGAGACAGTTTCTCCATGTTGGTCAGGCTGGTCTTGAAATCCTGACCTCAGGTGATCTGTCCACCTCAGCCTTCCAAAGTGCTAGAATTACAGACGTGAGCCTCCGCGCACGGCAGGTTTTTAAAAATCTCTTACTAAATCACATGCTTTTTGGACTGCATTTTTAAGATTTATCTGATTACAGGCCAGGCGCGGTGGCTCACGCCTATAATCCCAGCATTTTGGGAGGCCTAGGCAGGTGGATCACGAGGTCAAGAGATCGAGACCATCCTGGTCAACAAGGTGAAACTCCGTCTCTACTAAAAATACAAAAATTAGCTGGGCATGGTGGTGCGTGCCTGTAGTCCCAGCTACTCGGGAGGCTAAGGCAGGAGAATTGCCTGAACCCAGGAGGCGGAGGTTGTGGTGAGCCGAGATCACGCCATTGCACTCCGGCCTGGGTAACAACAGCGAAACTCCGTCTCAAAAAAAAAAGATTTATCTGATTACAAAGTAAAATATGCTTGCTTAAAAAACAAAAAACAAAACCCATACCTGAATTGCAATTAAGTCTTTGTTTCTGCTGTTTTTTTGACGGCATGGGCAATTATCCTATTACCCGTTTAATTTTTTTTTTTTAATTTGCCCTTTTCTACAAAACGTTGACAACCCCTAACCTGAAGAGCACTCTGTTGTGTCTAAGCTTAAATTGTCTGCCCAAACCAATTTACAACAAAGGAGTTAGGTTTAAGTCCTCTTTTAGGACATTCGGATTAAAAAAAAAAATCTATCATAAAGTATTAGAATACCTCTATTACTTTACTTTTGTTTCTGGTTTAGAAAACTAACACGGCAGCATCGTCTTCTACAAGGAGTCATGCCCACTTTCCTCATCGGCTTGTTAAACCTCTCTCATTCATTCTTGACTCAACCTGTGTCTTTGTGAAGCCTTTCTTGGTAAACCTATGCACAAGGAAGACCATTTATGTCATCATCAGCCCTTGCGCACGTTTCAATTATAGCGCCTATCATCTTGTACCGCGATTGCCTAATTTATTATTGTATTGTGCCTGGCAAACAGCAGGCGGTCAATAACTGCAGAATGAACGAGTCCATGTCAAGAGACTAGGCCGGGAGTTTTAAAAATCAATGTGACTGAGAAACAAAATACGGGAATGTCGAGGGCTGGTATAAAAACAGTCTCTAATAGCACAGAATCCTCCTGAAGGGAACACCTGTCCCACTTTCTCACGCTGCTTTCCGGGCTCTTCCGACACCTCAATTTCCCGCCCACTCTCCTCCCTCCAGGGGACAGGTCAGGCAGGTATACCCGCTCGCCGGCTATGATAGGTCGGCGATGACTTCATTGTTAGGGAACATCCGGGTCTTTCCCCTCCCTGCAACACCTCCCCAGAGCCCGGCCTGCCTAGTTTCCCACTCCCGCGTGCGCCCCACCCGAGGCTGAAGCAAAACAACCGTGTCTCCCCAGCCCGCTTCTTGTCCTGAGCCATCCCTTCCCGTCTCTACGCCGAAGAGAGGCGTTCAGATCCTCCAATGAGGCCCTAGGAAGACTTTCTTAGCCAATCAGTAGCCAAGTCCCTGCAATTCCGGATGGGACCAGGCGTCCACACCTATAGCTGGACTGCTCCTTGGTCTCTTATGGCGCTTATTTTACGCATGGCTTAGAGGTCAAATACAAGGGGTCACGGTCCTCACAGAACGGAAAGGATCCGTACACTCTCTGGGTTTGACCGTTTTCTAAGACGAACCTATAGCTTTCCAGATACTTCCCCGCCTTTTGCGAGTTCATTTGAAAAAAGCCGGTGTGACGGACTTGGAAATTGGCTCAGTGACTGACACGCAGAGAAAGCCAGTGACTGGGGGTTCGAATCACGATTTGGACCAATAAAAAAACGGGATCGCTGGGGCCTGGGCTTTGCTAGGAGGGGCGCAGGTGGGCGTTATTTGATTGACGGAGGGCTCTGCTTATGACTGGTAGTGGGGGCTGGTCCGTGACGTCCGGGAGGTAGGACCTGGCGGAGGCAGGGCCGAATGAAGTAAATGGTAATGAAGGGTTGGGTCACACTTAGTGGGCGGTGTTTGATGGACAGTTGACCTTGCCAATTGAAAGTGGCCACTGATGCCCAATGGGAAATTAGAAAGTCAGAGGCGGGGCAGGGTGGGCGGGGTAAACTAAGTACCGAGGTGCGGAGGGAGCCGCGCTGGGAGGGAGAGCGGTGATTGACAAGACTCCCAGCAAACTGGAAGCCGCGAGAGGGTGCGCGGCATCCCAGTGGGTGGGAGCTGGGGGCGGGGCTCCCTGAGGGGCGGGGAAGGACTAGGGTGCAGGGAGGGGGTTGCAGAAGGAGCCGAGCGGCTGCTGCTCAATGGCGGAAAAGCCGCCGGTTCTCTGACTGCCTGGTTCCCCTAGCAGTTGCGGGGGAGTTTCCTGCCGGCGCGGCTGGAGTCTCTGATTCTCAGGGTTGGTGGTTGGAAGATGCTCCAGAGAGACGAGGCTGCGGCGGAGGAGGTGGCGGCGGCCGAATCGGCAACGGCGCTAGGGTGGAGAGAAGGCGGCAGCAGCGGCGGCGGCGGCGGCGTGAGGGGCCCGGCGGTGTAAGCAGCCCCGGAGGCGGCGGTCGAGACCCCGAGGGGGAAGCGGCAGCTGAGGCAGGGTCGCGCCTCCGTTGGAAACTTGGGCTGAGTACCGCGGGGGGCTCCGCGGCGGGCGTAAGCGAGGCGCCCTAGATCAATCCTCCCTCCTTTGCCTCAGGTAAGGCCGCCTGGCGCCCCGCAGGAGGGGAAGCGGCTGACCAGCAGTGCTTCCGAGGCCCCGGGCCCCGGGCCGGTTTTCGCGGTGCCGCCAAGCCGCGGCCGGGGCCTCTGTCCTTCCGAATCCTCGCCACTTTCCCCGCTGCCCCGGAGCCTAGGCAGGGGAACGCCGGGCCTGGCTCTCGGGTAGGCCCCTTTCCCAGCAGCCGCCTCCGCTCGGCTGAGGGCTGGGAGAGGCGCGGGGAGAGAATGGGAGTCTGCTCGAACGCCTGGAAGCCAATTGATTCTCCCTTCCCTCCGCTTTAGTCTGCAAGCGTCTCTTTCACACGAAAGCACTGGGGCTCCCCAAGCCTTGGCTCGACTCTTGCAGATGCATGCACTGTTTGAAAACACTGCCTTTTCCCATTCGTTTCCTCATCAGCTTCTGCCCTCCTCTGCGCTCCACTTCACTTCCTTGTTAAATCGTCTTTCTCTCCTTGCTGTCTATGCGTTCTGACCTCGCTTTCCTTCCTTAGTGCCTTTAAATCGTGTGTTTCTCTTCTCATCGTACTTCGGCATCTCTTGCCTGCCTTCCCCAGCACCATCCTTTTCGGATGTCATTCCTAACACTGAAGTTCTTAATTGAAACTGCCGCTTACTGTCAGTGCCCCAAATCTACCGGAGCCCCATTAAGAGTATAGACTGACTAGCCTTATATGGTAGATAAGTTTTTTATACTTTAAGCCTAACAGCCTTAAAAAAAAATTGTATTATTAAACGTACTGTGTGAAAATAATACTGAAAATAATTTTTTAAATGAAGGGCTCAGTGAGTGCTGGAAATAGTTATTTCTTCATTTTTTAAAATTGCATGACCTCTCATGTCAGATTTAGCAGATCTAGGACTTTTGCCCATGTTATTTGGCAAAAAAAAAAAAAAAAAAAAAAGCTTCTTAAGCATTTGATAGCAGCCCAAATTCATCAATATTCAATTTCTTCTAAGAAAAACTTGAAAGCTTTTTTAAAAAGAGACTTTATATTAGTAACTAGGAAGCTGTTTTGATAAAGTCACAGTTAAAGAGCTTTTAAATTAGGCTCCACATGTTTAATGTATTGTAAAGTTGGCAGGCATGTTGTAAAAGGATTATTTAGGAATTTGAGTAGCCTTAGTGTTACGTAGCTATTTTAGGAAAAACATTCTTTTTCTGTTAACAAACGTTTACAACTATGGTGATGTGAGAATTACTGAGGTTTATTGTGGGATTAACACAGGAACTGTCTTTATTTGAGCTACTGCATGGGTGAAGAAGTGGTAAATTGTTCAGGGTGGACAGTGTAAGTCACAGTATGTTCTAGGAGGTGGAGAAACATGCCATGGACACTGAATGTTAATAGATGTTATTTCATTTACTTTCTCTGTTGTGCAATAGCAAAGTTCCTATTGTTGGCCTACTTTTAAATAGAGCATTTCTGAGTAAATAGTGAGACAAGTTATTCTAATTATTATGATAGTCTTTTCCAAGTGGACAGGCCTTTTAAAAATATAGTTGAAGTAATGGTAATTTTTTTTAAGGAAATATTTTTGTAGGTCTGCTAAATGGACAGTGTGTTTTTCTAATCGAAATTTTAAAATTAAGTAGAATATTTTTTAGTCAACAGATTTTCTTTCAGGGATAATCTTTATTCTGTGCTTCTTCTCTCAATGCCTTCTTTGTTTTTTTTTTCTTAATGGTCGTTGTGTTTTCACCTCTTCATTTATTTTTGCTCTCATAAAGTCTTATGACAGTTTCTGCAGTGGTTCTTTGTGTTATTGTATATTAGCGTGCAGTGGCATTTTTATTTGAGCTTTCATACTTTAAGATTTCCCCAGTTTCTAGTACGTTATCGTTTGGATTTGTTGATGTGATTATTCTCTTTGAAGTGACCAGCAGAGCTTTCAACACCGTTTTCTTACACTGGGTATCTGATTTCTGTGAAGACTCTAGGAATAGGTGAAAGGCCTTTTCAGTTCAGTCATGTCAGTAAATACTGTTTTATGTTAGTAATTCACCTAATTACTAAATTCCTTAAGATTACATCATCTAAAGGAATGGTGTAGTGTCCAAGTAGCTGCGCTTCTAAGAACAGCTCATTCACAGGTTAACAAGGTCAGAAAAAGTGGCTCTTGTTGAAAGTTACCTTTTCCTATAGCAAACATCTTTTATGGAATCTTTTGAATTAAAATATGATGCTGATTATGTCTTGGCAGTGTTGGAAAAGTAGAATTTGCCTCGGTATCACTTAGTGATTATGGTGATTTATTAAAAAGAGGCTATATAGGCCAGGTGTGGTGGCTCATGCCCGTAATCCCAGCACTTTGGGAGGCTGTGGTGGGCAGATCACTTGAGGTCAGGAGTTTGAAACTAGCCTGGCCAACATGGTGAAACCCCGTCTCCACAAAAATTTTCTGGGCAGGGTGGCATGTGCTTGCAATCCTGGCTACTCAGGAGGCTGAGGCAGGAGAATCACTTGAACTCTGGAGGTGGAAGTTGCAGTGAGCTTAGTTTGTGCCACTGCACTTCAGCCTGGGTGACAGAGTGAGACAATCAAAAAAAAAAAAGGCTTTCATGAATATTTTTATGTTATGTATAACTATTTTAAAGTATTTCATAACATTACCTAGCATAGAAAGCAGTTAAGTAGTAGTATAATTCTCTTTTTAAAATGCAACATATGATATTTTATATTTTCTGTGAAATATACCTTTCACAATTCACTGCGTTTTTTTTTTTGTTTTGTTTTGTTTTTTTGAGATGGAGTCTTGCTGGTCACCAGGCTGAAGTGCAGTGGCACAATCTCAGCTCACTGCATCCTCCACCTTCCGGGTTCAAGCGATTCTGCTGTCTCAGCCTCCCTAGTAGCTGGGACTACAAGCGCACACCACCATGCCCAGCTAATTTTTTTATTTTTTTAGTAGAAACGAGGTTTCACCATGTTGGCCAGGATGATCTTGATCTCTTGACCTTGTGATCCTCCCACCTTAGCCTCCCAAAGTGCTGGGATTACAGGCATGAGCCACCAGCCCACAATTCACTGATTTTAATAAAAATTAATCAACAAAGAAATAACTGATGAAATCAGAGTAGTAAAAGTATTTTTTTATCCAAAATTCTAATGGCAAAATTTAATCAAGTAATAGTATAAAGTGTGAAATCGTGATTAATGGTAAGATAATTTTTGGGAGTATAATATTCCTGGATTTCCAGTTATTTTTCTCATTGTACCTGATTCTTTTTGTTTTCCCTTTGGTGAACTAATTTCAGAATTGGAATGAAATGGAATTCTGCTATTTATATTAGCAGCTTTAAAGTTTTATTGTAAAATGTATCTTATACATTATATTAACAGAATTGATTAAGAGGACTGACATTTCACTATCCTATAATGTTCACTCTCTTACCTTCAAACGTTGATGATAAAAGTCTTTGGGAAACATTTCATTTTTTTTTGAGACAGAGTTTCGCTCTTGTTACCCAGGCTGGAGTGCAATGGCGTGATCTCGGCTCACCGTAACCTCCGCCTCCTGGGTTCAGGCAATTCTCCTGCCTCAGCCTCCTGAGTAGCTGGGATTACAGGCACATGGCACCATTTCCAGCTAATTTTTTGTATTTTTAGTAGAGATGGGGTTTCACCATGTTGACCAGGGTGGTCTTGATCTCTTGACCTCGTGATCCACCCGCCTCAGCCTCCCAAAGTGCTGGGATTACAGGCTTGAGTCACTGCGCCCGGCCCAAAATATTTAATTTTTATAGTTTGTAGTTGAGTGTCATAAAAATTGCAAAATGACAGAACTTGTTATTAGCTTTTAGTGGCTGATATAACAAGAACAGGTGAAGAAAAAGGTACATGAGCTTCATCTGTAGTTTTTCTTTGTTTTTGTTGGTGAGGCTTATTTACATCAGTACCTTGAGTTAAAAAAATAGGTTTTCATCTTTTGAACTAATTTAAGCATGCTAATGTCTTTAGTCAGCCATTTTATAATCTTTTTGCAAATAAAATGTTTCTAGGCCAGGCACAGTGGCTCACACTTGTCCCAACATTTTGAGAAGCTGAGGCAGGTGAATTGTTTGAGACCGGGAGTTTGAGACCAGCCCGGGGAACATAGCAAGACCCTGTTTTTACAAAAAATAAGTTAGCTGGACATGGTGTGCACTTGTGGTTAGCTACTTGGGAGGCTGAGATGGGAGGATTGCTAGAGCCTGGGAGATCAAAGCTGCACTGAGCTGTGATCGCACCAGTTTACTCCAGCCTAGGCAACAGAGCAAAACCATGCCTCTATTTGTAAAAAAAATTCTGATGTGATTTAATCTTTTTGTGTCAGTATGATTTAAGAAGGTTGACACTTTTGAACTTTCCATCTGTATTTATTTATTTATTTAAGATGGGATTTCACCATGATGGCCAGGCTGGTCTTGAACTCCTGACTTCAGGTGACCAACCCACCTCGGCCTCCCAAAGTGCTAGGATTACAGGCGTGAGCCACCGCACCCAGTCTGTATTCCTTCTTTTTAAAAGACTACCTTGAAGACTAATAGGTATGACCAGGTGCGATGGGTCACGCTTGTAACCCCAGCACTTTGGGAGGCCAAGGTGGGCAGATCAGTTGAGACCAGCCTGCCCTGGCCAACATGGTGAAACCCTTCTCTACTAAAAATACAAAAATTAGCCAGGTGTACTGGCGAGCCAAAAAAGACTCGCCAGATAGTTGAATCGCTTTATGATAAAAAGAACCCTTTACTAAATTCTTGATGATGTTATGAAGTTTTCCAGAAGTTGATCAATATAGTATATACATTTCTCAGACTATTTAAAGATTTTCAGATGTAGTCTTTAGTAACATAACACATAACATCGTAGGAAACATACATACTGTATAATAACTCATGTACTTTTTTCTTTTTAATTTTCTTTCTTTTTTTAATTTCTTTTTTGTCCCTCAGGATCTCACACTTTTTAGTTTTCATTCACATTACAGGGTGCTTTA